CAACAACAAACAAACAACCATTGTTCAGCAGAGACAACAACAAACAACCATCGTTCAGCCCAGAGCAGGATGTAGTTTCTCAGAAGGCTGGCCTCTTTCAGGGTCTGCTCTAAGTTCTTGCACATGTTCTACCCGTCCATTGTGTCCAGTGTAGTTTTGTTGTTGTGTTGGGGTGGGGGTGGAGCATAGAAAGGACGACGTCCTAAGGCTGAACGGGCTCATTCAGAAGGCGGGCTCTGTGGTGGTTCTGGGCCTCGACTCTGTGCTGGAGCAGAGGACATGCTCCAAGAACAGGGCGATCATGTCCAATCAGGACCGGTCCTTAAACTCTGTCTCTCATCAGTGAAGTTCAGTGAGCAGCAGACTCCGTTCGTTCAGGTCCTCTACTGAGAGACTAAAGAACTTGTTTGTCCCTCGTGCCATTAGGCTGGATAATTCAGCCGCTCCTGGCAGGAACAAGAGAAGCTAGCTGGTTATGTCCCCGAACATAGTTGATGCTTGAGCTCTTCATTTTGGTGTTGTTTTTATGAATTTATTGATTCTTTAATACTCCACGTTTTATCTGGTGGGTCTTTATCTTACCGTTTGTATGATCGAGCTACAGACCGCAACACCATTTCCTTCGGGATCAATAAGTAAGTAAAGTAAGAAAAGACTCCCATATGTTCGGGTGTACTGTGTGTAATCCCATGAGCCACGTGGACATTGCACACACTGTCCACAGACAGTTGAGACTTCATACTTGAGCGTACACCCTGATGGGCTGCAGCCCAGCTCCGCAGGCAAGGGGTGTTTACCTTCAGGACAAATTGAGATCGCTGACTGGTCATTTGCTGACACGTCTACTGGACTGAATGACATCAAACAAACCATCACTGACTGTGGAAACTTGACACTGGACCTGAAGCAATGTGGATTCTGTGTCTCCTCTCTTCCTCCAGACTCTGGGACCTTGATTTCCAAAGGAAATGCAAAATTTACTTTCATCAGAGAACATAACTTTGGACCACTCAGCAGCAGTCCCAGGCGAGACGCTTCTGACGCAGTCTCTTGTTCAAGAGTGGCTTGATACAAGGAATGTGACAGCTGAACCCCATGTCTTGCATACATCTGTGCGTGGTGGTTCTTGAAGCACCGACTCCAGCTGCAGTCCACTCTTTGTGAATCTCCCCCACATTTTGGAATGGGTTTTGTGTCACCATCCTCTCCAGGGTGCAGTTATCCCTATTGCTTGTACAGGTCCTTCTCAAAAAATGAGCATATTGTGATAAAGGTCATTATTTTCCATAATGTAATGATAAAAATGAAACTTTCATATATTTCAGATTCATTGCACACCAACTGAAATATTTCAGGTCTTTAATTGTTTAAATACTGATGATTATGGCATACAGCTCATGAAAACCCAAAATGCCTGTCCCAAAAAAT